TCTGAGTCCTGCTGACAGAAGACATCTCTGAGTACGATGACTTCATTTGAATCATTTCTGAATTTCTGCAGTTTCCCAGTACGATCTTCTTTGCAACTGAAAAGGGAAGAGCTCATTGGAAAAGGAAAACCACTCAGACTTTATTAATTAGCATTTTAATTCCTTAAATGGAAACAGTACAAACTATTTGTAATATTCCAGACCACATGCATGCTTCTTGATCAGTTCTTTTATTTAAGCAAATATTCATTTTGTGCTTTAACAGCTCCAATAATTCCATGTATATATAACACAGTACAATCTCCACCACGGTGCACTCTGTGGGTACATACATGTGAGCTTTTGGTGTCGACTACTGTCACAGCAGCACAAGGGTGTTTCTGATAGTGGCTCAGTGTTGTGACGTAAACTCCAGTGTAGCAGAGCCGCCTCACACAAACAGTCATCCAGACAGAGATGCTTCATCCAGTTTGGTGTGGAAGATAATGACATATCTCCTGACTTCATCAAACACCATCACGACCAGGCCTCATCTCACAGCGCTGGTGCTGGACCTGACTACAGCCAGGTTCTGACATCTGGTGGAAATCCTTCCCAGCAGAGGGAGGCTGTTACAGCAGCAGATTAATGCCTGTGCTTTTGGAATGAGATAGCAGCAGCACATATGGCTGTGATGTTCTGGTGTCCACATACTGGGACATGTGTTTCCAGTTACACTCTGGTTAGAAGATATGAACGTCCTCCATGTCTTCACTGAGAAGTACAGCAGCTCTGCATTTTGAGCATATTTATGATTACAGATAAAATCCATCTTCCAGCAAAGCAATCACTCACAGCTTCCTCTTTTCCCATTTCTTCATCCCGTCCTGCTCCCATCTCCTTCCCCTCTTCTCCGGCAGGTTCCTGATCGGTTTCTCGAGGTGGCTCAGGTGACTCTTCGTGAGTTCTTCAATGCCATCGTGGCTGGAAAAGATGCCGACCCGTCCTGGAAGAAGGCCATCTACAAGGTGATCTGCAAACTGGACAGCGAGGTTCCTGAGGTTTTCAAATCCCCCAACTGTCTACAAGAGCTGCTCCATGACTGACTAGAGCAGGGGAGGAAAGCCGGCAAGCAGAACAAACCTCCGAGGACCGTCAGAAGACTGTAAGAAACGCCTCCTAAGGTGCAGAGTTAGACTAGATGGAGGTCTTAATGAGATGCATTTGAAGGTGTTCAGAACGTGATGCAGAGTCTTGCAGTGGTTCTGTTTGGAGGTTTGTTTAAAGATAGAACTGCCCTCAAGATGTTTTACAAAGAAAAGATGTTCCTCTTGAACGTGGTGGAGGACTCTGATGATGCTCAAACTAACTAACGACGTTGGGACTTTTAGAAATGAAAAGCAAAACCGTGAGAAATTGAGTCTCGTTGCACTTAGAGAAAAGCTCCTCCGTCTTCTTTCTCCTCCAGCTTGTTCAAACGTTCTCTTCATCCCTGTCCAGAGGAACAACGGAGGTGAGGAAGATGATGGACGAATCTTCAACTTGAGATCAGGAGCGAACTAAAAATAAAGAAGATAATATATTAAAAGAAAAAAAATCTTTTTATTGTGGATGTTTTTAAGTTACATGGACATTTTTGAAAAAAAAAAAAGTGATGTTTCTGTATTTTTTCTCCTTTGTATAAGATCACACCCTCTCTTCTATAAACCCTGCACACACACACACACACACACACACACACACACACACACACACTTTAAATAGGAAGCACAGTAGCATTCCCAAATCCTCACTGGAACCCAGAAAAGTGGGCAAAAACCAGACGTAGTAGTTGTTTGATCCCAGCCATGGCCCTCCTCCTTTGACTTCATCCTCCTGTTCTTGTACTGAGACTTACTGCGTGTTTGTTCTGACCGTGCGGCCCGTTCTGCCTCCGACCCTCCCGGCTGCCTCTCCGGGTTTTTGTTTTAGAAAAGTTCGTCCAAACCGGAGACAAACAGACAAGCTTCTTTTAAAGCGACTGGTTAACCTCAGTTTGGAGCTAGCATGACATTTACAGTCCTGATTCCACTTACTCCGGTTTCAGAGCCGGACCAACACTGGGTTTTGTGGCAGACACCAGGTTTGATGTTTGTTCAGGACCCACAGACATTTTTGAGGAAAATTTCTTGTGAACAAAGCACCGGGTGGTGAATCTCCTCCACGGCTGCGTTTAGCTCCTGCAGTCAGTGGATCCTTAGTTTGGACCGATGCTGGATCTCCTACAGGCCCGTTTGTATCCAGGTGTGCAAAAACAGATTTTTAGCACAATAAAGGTTCCTTAAATTTTGCTATTTAAGATTTCTGAACATGCTATGAACTGAGCAGGACTTTTTACAGGAAAACTCATCCCGTTGGTTCTCTCTGGTGGACAAACTGTGTAATGCTGATTGTATGACCTCAGCGTGTTTGTGGCGTTTCTGTACAGCAGTTTATTTTCCTAATCGGCCAGTTAGTCCACCGCTATGAGAAGGACAAGCGCCTCCACTACTGCTGGATTGTTTGTAATGTTGTCAGAGGTATAGCTCTGATGTACAGCGCCGGGTGAAGGCAGGCGAGGGCCACAGCTGCTGCCGTAGCAACGTTTGGTGTCATTGTGGTTCCTTTATTCTGCTGAGACGTCATTGGTCCATTCTGTCTCACAGAATCACTTCATGGTTGGGTTTTATTTTGTAGTCGTGGATTCATGCAGGTCAGTTCTGTAAAACCATCCAGTTCCATTTCAATCACAAAGCAGCACATTAACGCTAAAACAACAGAGGACCTTTCTCAGACGGTGCTTTGAATCTTTTTTCAAGTATTGATTGAATTCAGACAGAAGAACAGAGAACTGACTGTTGTGCAATCATCTGCATTCAGAAGTGCAGGAGGTCCGCTTGTGACCCCTTTTATCTTGGAAACCTTCGAACTTCAAGTCCCGAAGAGCCACAAAGTGCAGTCAGGAAACTGAGCGAGGGGCAGCGGCAGGTCATGTGTGACGTGTTTAAGGTTTTAACAGCAGAAAAAAAAGACATACGACAAAATGCTGATATTTGTAGCTTGTATAGATGTAATAATTACTCTGATCACTCTGATATTGTTATTATTTATAACTGAAATAATTATTAATGTTATTCTGATGATTATTATTAATGCTTGCTACAGATTTGACCAGTGGTTTACTCATTGTTTATCCATCACACTGCAACATGAAATAAATTATTCTTTGAACAAACCCAGTGTGGCTGTACTTCCCTGTGGCCGGCGGAGCAGAGGGCGTGGACCGTCTGAATGCTGCTGCCCACACACCACCTCCCCATCGGCCCGGCAGTAACTAGGCAACATGATGGCCACTTTACCTCCGTCCATGCCCTCTCTCGCTCCGCTCTCGCTCGACGGCGCTCCCTCGCTCTGGGTTCTGTATAGGGGACATGTGATCCCTTGTTGTTGTTGCTGATGAATTGAAAAGAGGAGCGCTGTGTGATTATTGTCAGCACAAAAGCCTCAAAAAGCTGCTGACGCCTAGATTAGGCAGTACAAAGACGCAGGGACACACACACACACACACATAAAGACATAGGTAGAGACTCACACAAAGACACACCAGGACGAGGCCTGCCTGCCCTCCATGCCCTGCCATCCTCCTCCATCACTGAGATTACTCTCCTCCTCCTCCTCCTCCTCCCCTTTTACCTCTCTGCTTCCCGTCTCACAGATTTTATTTCATCCATCCTCCTCTAACACCACTTACCTCGCTAACGCACACAAACACACACCATGCCCTCTGTGTGTTGGCGCCAAACACTAACTGGCATCACACAATGCCAACCACCATCACCAGCATGGGATAAAGTGCCAGCACTCAGTGTGCCGCTCCTTTTTCTCCTCTCGCACTCGCACTAAACAGAAATATTGCCAAAACTCCAATGGCAATAATGGCATAATAAAACAGTTTATAATTCTGTGAAGCTATGTCTCTGCTACTCATCCAGCCTCAGAAGATTCTTATTCCTCACAGGGAAATAAAACACACACAGAAGTGATAGAAAAAGTTTTACATCCCACTAAATAAATGCAGAAAAATATGAAAGCACAATGCAGCCGATCCACAGCGATGCCCGGCTCTGAGCCCACTCCGTGTTCATCTGAACAATAATCTAATTAATGAGGGCTTTATTGGTGTCATTTATATTGACTGTATCTGTGTGCAATTCAAATTAAAACTTGAGATAAACCTGCACAGAACAGAGTCGCAATAAAAGAACAGTTCTGCCAAACAACAACCGAACGGAGCCGACGAGGGACGACGGAGAAGACGCTCAGCTGGAGCACTTCAGCTCATTCAACCTGCAGCGAGGATGGAAGTCGTGAAGCTGCTTGCTGGTGTGATGCACTCACAGATGGATATAATAAAGATGCATTAAAAAAACGGCAGCAGATTTCAGCTTTAACAGCAGCAGCAGCAGCAGAACCCACAGACAGAGCAAAGCAGGGGAAGGGTATCTGGTGCATTAGCTTCCAGAGCCAAAGCTTTTCATTAGAACAGGAGGGACTGAACAGGAGGTGGGGTCACTGCCTGCTCGATATGATCACACACACACACACACACACACACACACACACACACACAGTCTGCCTGTGAAAGCACATCTGAGCAGCGCAACAATAAAACAGCTGTGTTTGTGTTGGCCTGATGATTGTTTCATTCTCAATCAGCCGACATTCACGCAAACACACTTACACATACACAAACACACTTAGCGTCCGCAGAGATGGCATGACAGTGATGCATGTTGGGTAATGGCTGCCATTATGGAGTAGTCAAAGAGTTTATTATGAAGGAAATCTCTCCTCGACATCATTCCAGCAGCTGTAACTGTCTTGTGCGAGCTAACGGCTGCTAACGTGGGCTGTGGTGTGTGTCTGTGTGTGATTCACACCCACTGCCATATTGGTAAATAGACCCGATGGTCAGAACTGCAAAATTACAACTTCAACAATGAGAATAATCATCAAAAACAGACAGACTTTGTCTTTTCTACTTAATACCCAAATTACAGTGTTTTGAAGTTAGCAGCAGCAGCAGCAGCCGTGAAAGATGGAACCTGTTCAGAAAAACAGCAGAAAGAGGATTTAAAGCCGTGACAGAGGCACAAGAAAGTAGTTTTTCTTATTGAAGGCTGTTGGCTGCTTCAGGAGACAGAGAACAGGACAGCGATGATCAGCGCCACATCCAACTTCTCTCACTTCATCACCAACGGCTGCAAGTGGAGATAACTGGAGGTTTGTACATCCATCACGTCACGCTACAGACACGACCAGGTGCATGTTCAGCTTGATCATTACTGAATGAGTTGAAATGCATCACGACCTGCAGCAGGCTGCATCAGCTGGTGCTTCACCTGTACAGCTCCTCCAGACGCTAACCGTCCTGTTACCTTCACATTTACTGACATCTCTTGTCCTGGCTCACACTGACCCCAGCACACCTCCACAAAACAATGCAAACTGTTACCCAGGCTTATGTGTAAGACGCCCTTTAAATGAAGCTGAAGATGTTCAACACTGAACGGGGTCAAAGTAAAATCAGTGTGAGGGCCAAATATCCACAAACCACAAACTGGCTTCACACAACAGCCTTTAGCAGAACATCCTCCGTTCACAGGAAGAACAACGGCTCCGAGGAAACGTCTCCACCACAACAAGAAGACCACAGAGAGCCGTCTGTCTGGAGGTACGAGCTGCTCACCGGCCCGTTTGAAGGAAGGAGTCTGCTGATAGAAGTGAAGAGAGCTCGTCCACAACGTGGACTGAAGCTGGAACTACTCAGAACAGTTCGTCAACAAACTCCACTAATCACCACCACGAGGTCTGTTTTGATCAGAAACACTTTTTCTGTTTGGGCTTCAGAGACATAAAGACGAAGCGCTTGGTTCTGTCAGAGGGAACCGTGATGAGGGCCCTTCTCACCACCTCCACCTAAAAGATGAACTAATGGGAAGCAGTGAGCAGACGTAATGTGGAGGCTGCTGGGCGCTCTGGGTCGCTCTGAGAACGGACCACAAGCAGAGAGCGCTCCAGTAAAACGCCTCCATCTGCAGCCTTTGCAGTTTTTAAATGTGATTGCCGGTGATGATGTGGTTGCAAACGCATATTTCTTTTTCTAAATTGTTTCTGGTTCACAATTGCAGAACAGAGGATTCGATATTGTTCTTCATCGTCTCTTCCAGCGTCTCAGGTAGAACCTCAGGGCGCCGTCTGACCCGGCGCTGACCTCTCACGCAGATAAACTCGCCTCTAATTACTGGACTTGAAGACATCATTCAAACAAACGGCTGAACGGATCGGACCGTCGCCGGCTGCAACCACCAGCGCGAGCTTGTTGAACAGACTTTAATCAGCCGGCGCTGCAGGTTTATGTGCACTTCTTTAAGACGGCACCCAGATGAACGAAGCTAATTGTTGTTTGGAACAGCTGCAGGAACGGAGCTGAAGCTTCTCCAGCACACCGCCTTCCACGGCCCCTCAAGTCACCTCCTCTTCCATCTTACACCGTTCACTGTTATCACAACTGACTTCCATGATGAGCTGCTTCAGCCATTTTATCAGCCGGCTCTGTCAGAAAGCCTTTCCTCCTGCACTCAGCATGCAGGGATCTATACATGCACTGATCTGCTGTTTCCTTTCATCTATCGATCCTGAATCAAAGAATCCATCCTTCCTTCCTTCTTCCTCCTACCTTCCTTCCTAAATGAAATCATTTCCCGTCCCTGGTTCCTCGCTGCATCCCTCCTTCCATCAGCGGTCTGTTCGCTAATCAAACACCATCTGTCCTTCCATCCCCAACCTGTCAGGAACAGCTGCCAGCCGCTCTCTTAACAACACTTTTAACAACCCTGCCGCATCTTCCACGGCCCGCTGCCCGCCGCCTCCGCCGGGCGGACGCCGCCGATGAGGGCCGCCGCCTCCTTTACAGCACACAGGAACACAAAAGACAAACCAGGCATGTGTCGCCGATGAGCTGATCAGAATTTATGAAGACGTACCAGAGGACAACATGGTCGACACGGGACAAAAGAAAGACAAACTTCTGCTGGCCTCTCACTGACCCGAAGGAACGGCACCAAAGAAATGAAACGACTCCAGAGAAAGACGAATAACTGACGAATAAAACAAAGGAGCGACGGCGCTCAGTGAAAGAGTGGAAATCTAAATAGTAATCAAGGGAAGAATCAGCCGCCTGCTCAAAAAAAGAGCGCAGAGCTAATGGTGGGAAGTAAAAGCTCCCAACACTCACACACAAGAAGACAATTTACACACAAGTCCTGAACAATCACACAAACACAAGAACACAATTAGCTTCACCTCACATAACAGTGTTCTCCCACCAACAATCCAATCAGCCCTCACACACACACACACACTCACACACACACCACAGACATAATCACTCACCAATACATGTTCACACACACACACACACACACACACACACACACACACACACACACACACACTGCACTGCTGTTGTCGTGAACATGCCAAGACATTTTCAAGTGTTATATCCTGAGGAACTTCCCCAACCAATCATTGGCACATAGGCCAGATGTTCACTGCAATGTTCTCCTGGCACACACACACACACACACACACACACACACACACACACACACACTTTGGCATCTTTGTGTCTCTCCCTATACACATATGAGCTTTTGATGTTGATGAAACTGAAATGCCAAGGCTGCACTTTTTCACGGCACAAACGGGGAGAACAAGAGGTGAGAGGAGGAGACAGAGCCGGACGAGGGTGTAAAAGCTGATGAAAGCCTGCACACAGAAGTCAGAAGGAGGGAGAAGAAGGACATCCCATCATAAACGTAGCTGCAGTGGAGTCTGCAGGTGCTCCAGGTGAGTGAGAACACCTGACTGTGCCACCTGGTGGAGAGCTCAGGCACTTTGTTCTGGGCTAGAAAGTCAAAGTTTGGACAAACCTCCCTGCTCACGGGTTTTTATTTTTACAGTCTCCTACTAACAAACTATACAGTCAGACACACTGGTACCTTTGTGCCTTCAGCTTTACACAATACTTTCAATAGTTTAAACAGATTCATGAAACCTGAAACCTGGTGGAGTTTGTTACCTGAATGTCTTTGTCGGTTGTGTCACCTCCTGGTGTTACCATCCAGGAAACAGCTCCACTCCACAACAAGAGAAACCGTCCGTCACAGCTTT